CCAGAAATGAGGCTCCTTCTTTTCTTTGAGTGGTTCCTGCCGGTTTTTGGTTTGTGCCTTGTAAGTGCTGAGACCCAAAAGAGAGAGTAAATGCTGCTGTTGTTACCAGTACTGATAAACTGATTCTCTGTCTGTTCAAGTGGTTGAATTGCTTCTGTTTGGTGTTGAGGGTTCCTGGGTTAAGGCTTCTCCAGGGGCTGATTTTTCATATGGACACACACGATGCAGGATTTCTGCGGTCTTCCATCACTTTAACCACAAGAGCCTTCTCTGGGATGTAATTACCCTGTTGTAATGGACCAAATTTTGCATTTGGGTCTCCAGAGAGAATGCTGATGTTGTGCTGTGTTCTGATTTAATGCCACTGCCAGTTTACTGTTCTTCATATTTAAATCCAAATTCTGCACCTACACTTTTCATTAAGTAAATATTATAGCTATTTGCTTGCCTTATTATGCAGTATTCTCAAGTATCAAGATAATTTTGCTTTGATTACCAAAAACACTCACAAGTTCAGTACATTATTAAAAATTTAGATCAGCTACTGTACATTTATAAATCCCTTTTCACTTACAGATGGAGCATAAGGAGATGTACTAATGAGCCTAAAGTTGCTAACAGATTCTGATGGCAGACATGACAATTAGTATACTATCGTCATAAACAGAGTGATGCCATTATCAACTGACTTCAACAGAAAAAAAGCATAAATAAATCAGTTTGGTATGTGTTGCATTGTACAGTAATGTAGGGCATCCTAGGTACTAGAGGTTTAAGACCTTAATAATATGGGCTGCCCACCTGCAAAGGTAATTTAAAAAAAAAATCATGTGCAAATGTCAAAAAATAAGTTGGGAAGATAATGTAAAATTTTCAGACTGATTAGGACTAGCTAAATTGCAAAAGCAGTGGACTAAGCTTTCATTCTGTTTTTTGTAGAGATAAGCCACCATTTTGGGGACAAGCTGTTGAAATCTCTAAATTGCCTGTGGTAGGTAGGGTCCAATTGCTTTGAGGCAGGCAGAGCAGCTCAGATATGTCAGACACTGGGAAAATGTCAGTGCCTGAATAACTTTGGGATAAACTGTCTCTAAAAATGAGCCTTGGAACTGGTGGGCAGTTCTTTTTACATGTGCAAAAATTGTATGTTGACATATGCCAGTTGGATAAATATGCTTGCAGATGCTGAGCTGTGCAGGCAAATTGTCATTGGCATGTACAATTACCAGCTTTCTTGTGCAAGCAGACGCAATTGCCAGCCTATTGTCAAAGGCCACCTGAAAACTTGGCCATAAGTAGAACATAAAGTGTTATAAAAGATGCAAAGGTTTTCCGAACGGAGAGATTCCCATAGATATCAACTATCAGACAAGTTATCAAAGCTGCATTGACTGAATGGGACAGATTCAGATAGAGACAGAAACCCTTACAGGAATGCATAATTTCCAGGGTGAAATAGAGATCTTTATGGAAGTTGACATGACACGAGAAATTAACACGGGAAACAATGGTATGTTGATGTTACACGAAAGAAAAGTGAAATGTAGGTATGGAATGACCCGAGTGGTTAAGTGATTATCAGGAATTGTTAAAGACAATACTTGGGAAATAAAGATTGCAGAGATGTGTGGATAATGAGTTTTCAGTATGGTGCCTAAACTGAAAACTAAAAAAATAATAATTTCAGGTTATTCAACTCTCTCTCTCTTTTTTTAAACTCCTGATTTGAAATTTAGATCAGTTTTTCCAAAACAGAAAAGCAAAATGTATGGACTTTTATATATAATAGTGTTGGGGTAACCACAAAATATTGGCAAATGTACTGTTTGCCCTCCCCCCGCCCCCCATCATCTCCTCCCCAAAACAAAATTACACAACCTTACTAGCATACAGGAAAATACTGGTCTCGGTAGGCAAGTTAGGACTAAAATGATTGTGTATTTTTTCTCTAGGATACTAAAAAATTATTAGTGAGATACAGTATAGGTCTGACTCCAGGAGCAGAAATTCTATTCATGTTCACAAAAATTACTTAATCGGTTATATAATTTTTATGAGGTCTTTAGGATGAGAATAATTTTTTTACATTAATTCTAGCATCCACTACAATAGGGACTCCATTCAGGCTTGGAGTTTAGCTGCTAGTGTCATGCAGCTATAAAACAGGCTAGCTTAATTGCATAAACAGTACAGGTTTAACTTTTAAAAATGGAGTTAATTCCTGCCTTAAGGAATGTATGTTTAAAAAAAAAAAAAAGGCTGGGGAAGCTACTGAGATATACTTACAATAGGTAGCAGTATGTTGGTGAGAAACGAAATCATACTTCTCAAAACTGATTTTTTTTTTTTCCCATCAGCAGGCTGAAACTGCAGCCAAAGACAGCATTGTCCATGGGACAATGTTTGTTTTTTGTTTGAAAGAGCTGTTTAAAAATATCCTCTAACTGCTGGCTCTCTTTCAAGGTCCATTGAGCTGCTTCATTGGAAGGAAACTGTAGGCATGAGCCTCACAGCCATTATTACAAATGAAGTAGATATGTTGTCATCTTTTCAAAATAAACTGATTTTGATGATGATGATTATGATTATTATTATTTTGCTTGCCCATGGGTTTCAGAGAAGGAAAAATTGCTTGTAGGGATGAGTGAAACAAAATACCTCAAGGACCTCCCAAACCTCACAGAAAGATTCAGAGATATTTAGCATTGATTATTACTTGGTTCATTTTAAAACATTTTACTAATGTAAGTTGCATTTTACTGACTTCTTTAAATAGGTCTCAAGTTATCCCTTGGCCATTTTGCCTTTAAGCAAGGTCTCTTTCTCTGCTTCAAAGGTTTGATATCATTTCCTTTTTCTCTTGTCTTCCATCATTCTCTCTCTCTTTCTTTTGCCCTCCGCCCAATCCAAGGGGTGCGTGCTAGGGCTGTGCAAAACAGCACTGTTTTACTTCAACTTCTGCTTTGCCATTTCCAGTTTCGTTTAGTTTCGAAACCACTGTTCCATTTTGTTTCGATATTTTGCCCAGAGGCTATAATGGGGAAGCACAAAACTGCCTAAAACTCTGTCGCTTTTTGCCTGATGTGGATGAAACTTGCAGGGATGGTAGTCCCTTTTGAGGGCATGAAGCCTGCCAAGTTTCAAGGAGATAGGTGAGGATTTTCTGGGAAACAGCACCTCAGGCTGCTGACAAGCAAAACCCATGACGTGTGATTGTGTGCGTTTTCCATCCCTCCCCCAGAGCACTGGGATTGGAAGGGACCTCAGGGAAGGATCACAGTCACTGGCCAGCTACACATGTTGATACGAGAGCAGTCCTTCCCCCTCCCCCTCCTTAGTTTCTGTTTCCCTGCAGGCAAGCCCAGCTTGAGCTTCAAAACTTGAAACATTTTGAAACTTTTGAAACATCTTGACTGCCCCCCATTTCATTTTTGAGGCTGTTTCGAAGCCCTTCATTTTGCTGTTTTGAGGTCAAAACGAAACAGTGGGCAAAATTTCTCACAGCCCTAGTACGTGCCACTCTGGCTAGGTTCTTTGTTGCATCTCCTTAGTGATACCATGGAGAGGATACAGCCTTGGAAGTAATAGGCCAACTTTTACACTCTTCAGATTCTGGCCAGCTCTGTGGGTCACACCAACCCAAGTACCTATTCGATTCATTATACACCTTCAGGGGTGTCTGTGATGTGATGCCTCCTAGCACTAAGCATTCTGGGCAAATTCTCTGTCAGGATTATGGCGAGATCAGGGAAGCCAATATCCTATTGCTGTACAATGGGAACTTGGCATTTCTTTCCCTGCCCCTTCCAGCTCGTGTACAGTAAGACAACAAAATTGCACATGGAGGTTGGAGTTGTAAAGGATACAGAGGTGCCAATTCTGCTATAAGTTCATTCCACTTCTGCTTCATCAGTCTTTCTTCTTTCTTTCAGTCCATGCAACTTGGAGGATGCTTCTTCTTTCTCTGTCTCCACTCTCAGACCTTTTCTGTTCCTTCTCTACAACTTCCTTTCTCTCCACCAGAATTGCCCTTCTGCTCCTGGTTTCATAATTCATGGGTGCAATGGGGGCTTAGTTCCCCCTAAATTGAAAAGGGGTTTTTAATTGTCATTTAAAAACCCACCATTTCAATTAAAGGACTTCTGCGTTAGGGCCCCCATTAGCTCACTTGCCTCTCTTTCCTCCTCCCCCCACCCAGCTCTACCAGGAAAAAAAAAATGCCAAGGGGTCCAATCCTTTTTTTCTCTTTTCTTTTCTTTTCCCAGAGTGTACCTGCCCTTCCTGAGGGGGGGAGGGCCAAGCTGCCAATGGCCAAGTGGCCCCTGAGCTGCAGGGGACCCAAGACCTTCCCTCCATGGCAAGGATAGGCTGGCTTGGCCCTGGAGCAGAGTGGCAAGGTGGCAGGAGGGCTGCTAGGTGTTCTGGCAGTGGGAGATCATGGCGGGGATGGTGCAGGTATGCTGGAAGCCCACTAAGCCCAAGCTTCCCTGAGCATGTCTGGGCTTCCAGAGCCTTCTGCACCATTGCCCTTTGTTATGTAGAAAACTAAAATAGCTTGGATGGGTTTTACCTTGTTACATTAAAAAGTCATTTAAAGCAAAATATGCCTCTGAATGTGTACATCTTCACAAAATTAACGTGGAATACATAGCTGAATGTGTAAACAGCGATGCCATTAAAGCAGTGCAAAAGGGCAATTAAGCCGCTTTAAAGGTCAATTTTGTCACGTGTATAAGCACCCCTGGAGTCCACCTTCTCTGCTCTTCTTTCCAGTGCAGGCACTTGCTCCTCCTCAGCCCAGAAAAGATTGGCTGACAATATCACAACATCATCAAAGCAGTACAATAACTCCATTATGGTACTGCCAGCCACCAAATACAGGACAATGAAGTTGTCAGACCGTCAGGTTTTGGGATGCTTTACTTTGTTGACCAAGAGTGGATTTCACAGCACCCAAAGTCTGAATGGGAGGCATGTATTCACCTGTGTTCGACCACAGCTGCAGGCTGGATATGAAGATAAGGGTGACTTTATGCATAGTTTTCTGTTCTCTGTAGGCTCCAGAGATCTTTTTTCCTATAAGTATCCCTGAGGAAGTAGCTGCTGTTTAAACTGGATCCCAAGCATCCACACCCTTGACTAGCACTGAAGTTTGCCAAAAGTGTGTGCCAGATAAGTGACAAGGAGGAATTTTAAGGGTTTTGGTTCCCAAGGAGGTAGCTGTCAGTAAGGTAAATTATTACACCCTTTTTGCCTTTAGATGTTGCTATATTTGTCTCGTGTCTAGAGCTAATCCACTCTTCATTTATTTTCCCATTGACATATTAGTGTTTTGAGAGGAATAGAGACAACTGTAGCGGATGTCTAAAAGCCATTTGTACAGGTGCATTCTGAATTTTAAAATGTATTGCATCATCCAGCAAATTGTCTATTAAGTGGCCTAAGCTTTTTTTTTTTTTTTTCTAAACTGGGGTCAGTTGCATTGCTCTGTTGGCTGTAACAATCTTCCCACTGAAGAACTAGTCCATTCTGGTTAAAAAGAGACCCTTTTGTTTGCTGTATGTTGATCTGCGCTTTAGGAAATAGGAAGTCATGGCTGCTATTCCACTGCAGCAGGATTAACCTTTGAAACCAATAAAGACCATACTATACAGATGGAAGTGATCAAATAGACCATCCAGTCCCAACTGAGGCTGTAAGATCTATTTAATCAAAACAAGAAAGTAGAAGGAAATTAGCAGGGTATCCTGAGGGTATCAAAGGAACTGGGCAGGGGTGACTATCACAATTTATGAAAGCCCTGTAATAGGCTTGGTGAGTTACCTAGCAGCTTTAAATTAACCTGTACAGTGGCACCCATGCTCTTCCACAGAGGAAACTCGCATAACAATAAATCAAAGTGTGGTACAATGACGCCCCCAGTAATTCTCCATTGGACTGGGTATGGTACAGATCTGTCGGAAGAGAAATCTGTGTTCACAACAGCTTACAATCTCAAAAGAAAAGTTAGACGTGATGGGAGGGAGAAGGAGTATTATTATAGAAAGTGACACAGAAAAATGAAGCGATTTGGCCAAGGGCACAGAGGAAGTCTGTGTGAGCAGGAACTGAATTCAGATATGCAGAGTAAATAATTGAAGCTTGTGTAAAATATCAGTTGCATCAGGGTTAGTTTTTTTTAGTTTTATTTAAATTCCCCTGTCAGACAAATGGAAGAGATGCACATAAATGTAGTGCCGCATGCATGCGCACAATAGGGGG